TTAGCTCGAGGTCAGGAGTTCGAAACCAAGCCTGAGCAAGAGCGAGACCCCGTCTCTACATAAATAGAAAGAAATTAATTGGCCAACTAATATATATAGGAAAAATTAGCCGGCATGGTGGCGTATGCTGTAGTCCCAGCTACTTGGGAGGCTGAGGCAGGAAGGATTGCTTGAGCCCAGGAGTTTGAGGTTGCTGTGGCTAGGCTGACGCCATGGCACTCACTCTAGCCTGGGCAACAAAGCGAGACTCTGTCTCAAAAAAAAAAAAAGAAAAGAAAAAAGCGGGCGCGGTGGCTCAAGCCTGTATCCTAGCACTCTGGAGGCCGACGCAGGCGGATTGCTCGAGGTCAGGAGTTCGAAACCAGCCTGAGCAAGAGCAAGACCCCGTCTTACCTATAAATAGAAAGAAATTAATTGGCCAACTAATATATATATATAAAATTAGCCGGGCGTGGTGGCGCATGCCTGTAGTCCCAGCTACTCGGGAGGCTGAGGCAGCAGGATTGCTTGAGCCCAGGAGTTTGAGGTTGCTGTGAGCGAGGCTGACGCCACGGCACTCACTCTAGCCTGTGCAACAAAGCGAGACTCTGTCTCAAAAAAAAAAAAAAAAAAAAAAGAAAGAAAACTATTTGGGAAAGGACTTGAACAGATGCTTCACCAAAGAAGGTACATGGATGGCAAATCAGCCATGGAAAGATGCTTACGTCAGACATTGGGGAAATGCCAATAAAAAACACGGTGAGATGCCGTTCTGTGCTTCCTGGGAGGGCTGAACTCGGGGCAGCGGGGACTCTCGTCAGGACCAGGAGGGATGCAAGGGACGGGCCACCCTCCCAACAGCTCAGCACTTCCTTATAAAGCGGAACGTGTGTTTACCATATGACTCCACAACCACACTCTGAGTATTTGCCCAGGAGAAATGAAACTCGCATTCACACAACAACCTGTGCACAAATGTGCAAACAGCTCTATTCAACGATTGTCCCAAACAGGAAACAATCCAGAAGTCCTGCCGTCGGGGAAGTGAATAAACGCACCGAGGCGCGCCCACGCCATGGACTGTCAGTGCAGCAAGAAGAGGCGGGGCTACAAGCCCTGCGGTTTTGCCCACAAAAGACAAAACGACGGGGTGGCGGCGACGGGGTGGCGGCCAGGTTGGCGGGGAGGGTGTGACTATAAGAGGAGTTTGGGGTGATGGGCCTGTTCTGTGCCCTCAATGTTTTTACATGAGTCTATGAGTGTGTGTGGATTGTGCATGAATAAATTCATAGAACTGTATACCAAAACCCAGAAATCTTACTGGATGTTAACTCAAAAGTGAAATTAAAATTTTAAATTAATAATATGTAACTTTACAAGAAAAAATTCCAGCCTTATTCCCCGCAAAGCCACCTCGCAAACTTGGGTGGCAGCTAAGCCCATCTCTGCACCCGCGATGGGATGTGCATCCGGCCCATGCCGGAGCGTGTGTTTAGGACACGCCAGGCACACGCTGGGCTGGGCTGGGCTGAGGTGGTGCAGGCACTTCTGTGGGGCCATGGGGGTGTCTGCCTCTGACCCACCTAGGATGGTTCCAATTGATTTTTGCCAGTTAAAACTTTTCCCTCCAGGGCTCTCTATGGGGAGTAAAGAAAATGCAAAGTTTTTGGTAGAAAAACCACAAGTCAGAGAACTGAAAGGAATGTCATGGACTCTCCTGCCTCTCTCCGGCTGTGTGTGGAAGGCCTTGTAGGACAACCTGCTGCCTCCCAGCCTGGCCGAGGGAGGAGGACCTGACTCACAGACGCCACATGATAGTGAGGGGGACGAGAGCCAAGTTTCCCTGCACCAATCCCAGCAGGCAGCCCCCAACAGTGCACCCCAGCACGGGGCAGCTGAGGCCTGCTGGGGATGGTGGTGGATATCTCAGCAGGAGGGTGCAGCCCCCATGCTTGGAGCTGCCCAGGGTCAGAGCTGCCCAGGGTCAGATCTATCCCAGGGTCAGAGCTGCCCAAGGGTCAGATATATCCCAGGGTCAGATCTATCCCAGGGTCAGAACTACCTTTGGTGAGATCCATCACAGTGTGAGATCCATCCAGGGTGAGAGATACCTAGAGTCAGATCTATCCCAGGGTCAGAGCTGCCCAAGGTCAGATGTATCCCAGGGTCAGAACTACCTATGGTGAGATCCATCACAGCGTGAGATCCATTCAGAGTGAGAGATACCTAGAGTCAGATCTATCCCAGGGTCAGATCTATCCCAGGGTCAGATCTATCCCAGGGTCAGAGCTGCCCAGGGTCAGATCAATCCAAGGGTCAGAGCTTCAAGGTCAGATCTATCCCAAGGTCAGATCTACCTATGGTGAGATCCATCATAGGGTGAGATCCATCCCAGATCCCAGGGTCAGAGCTGCCCAAGGTGAGATGTATCCCAGGGTCAGAACTACCTATGGTGAGATCCATCACAGGTGAGATCCATTCAGGGTGAGAGATACCTAGAGTCAGATCTATCCCAGGGTCAGAGCTGCCCAGGGTCAGATCTATCCCAGGGTCAGAGCTTCCCAAGGTCAGATCTATCCCAAGGTCAGATCTACCAATGGTGAGATCCATCATAGGGTGTGATCCATCCCAGATCCCAGAGTGAGAGATGCCTAGAGTCAGAGCTATCCCAGGGTCAGAGCTGCCCAAGGTGAGATGTATCCCAGGGTCAAATCTATCCCAGGGTCAGAACTACCTTTGGTGAGATCCATCACAGCATGAGATACCATCCAGTGAGAGATAACCTAGAGTCAGATCTATCCAGGCAAGCTCCAGTCAATCTACCTATGAGTGAGATTCATCATAGTGAGACCTCCCAGATCCAGGGTGAGAATACCTAATCAGACATCCCAGGCAGACTATGACCAAGTCAGATCATCCAAGGTCAGATCTACAATGGTAATCATCATAAGGGAGATCCATCCAAGAATCCATGAGAGAGCAAGTCAACCTATCCCAGGTAGGACTGCCAGGTCAGATCTCCCAAGTCATCTACCCAATGTGAGATCACATAGGTGAATCCATCCAGATCCCGTGAGAGATACCTAAACAGATCTATCCCAGGTCAAGCTCCCAGTCAGATCCTATCCAAGTCAGATCGACCTATGTGAGAATCCATCCATAGTGAATCCATACAAAGATCCAAGTGAGAGATGTAAAGTAAGATCTATCCTAAGTCAAATCACCTAATGGTGAGATCCATCATAGGGTGAGATCCATCCAAGATCCCAGAGTGAGAGATGCCTAAAGTCAGATCTATCCCAAGGTCAGATCTACCTATGGCGAGATCCATCATAGAGTGAGATCCATCCCAGATCCCAGAGTGAGAGATGCCTAAAGTCAGATCTATCCCAGGGTCAGAGCTGCCTGTGGTCAGAGCGCCTAAGGTCAGATACATCTCAGAGTCAGAGGGACCCAGGGCCAGAGTGGTCCAAGGTCTGCTGTAGGTCAGATCCATCTCAGGGTCAGAGCTTCCCAGGATCAGAGCTGGGGGAGAAGAGACAAAGGAATTGTGTCAAATGGGGACCGTGTCTTATCTGCTCCAAGGGCCTTGCTTTCCTTGTCTACAAAGCAGGTTGTTTCCAAAAGTGCTCTGAGAGCTCTAAAATGTGAGTGAGGGGTGAGGCATGTTGTTGCCTTCCCTAAGGCGAGCACGATGGCTGCTCTGGGGGACCAGGTGGCAGGAGGGGCTAAGCACCAAGTAGGCATCGGCTGGTCTTGATGACAGCAAAGCCGCCGGTGGGAGGTTGTGGTGGCAAAGGTCAACACCAGAATTCTAGGTGAGGGGAAAAACCTCTCGCTGGGGCTGGGCTGAGAACTAGCTGGGGAGGAGTAGGTGGAAACAGCTTGACAGGACGGCAAGTTGCATCTGAGTGTTCCAGACACCAGGTTCCACATGTCGCGTTATCTGTCCTCTTAGGTGCAGCCACACTCTCCCGAGTCTCCTACAGAGAATTGCACGGCGCTCCTGAAGGACGAAGGAGGGGCCCAGGCACGCCCCCCGCAGGGTGTCACCGGGTCTGGAGGGCTGGTGGGGCTGAGCCGAGGTTGGTGGGGAAGGTTTCGGGCAGAGGGAGTGCGGAGGACCAGGGCAGAGGGACTTCGGCCTGGGGAGCAGGACACCGCACGGCACCCACGCACGGGCCACTCTGCAGCAGGCTCCCACGTGCTCATCTTCCACACAAAAGGCTGCTTCCCCGAACCCCCTGACCTGTGCCCTGCCTCGGGGGTCCTGTGGAGGGCCACCCTTTGTGCCTGGTGTTCGGGTCACCGTCCCTTTCTTGGCACTCCTGGTATGTCCATGAGACCGGCCAGCCCACCGTGGGAGCCTGTGCGCCATGACTCGCGTGCAGGTGGGGCCGCGTCAGCTCTCCTGGACCTTTCGCTTTCCCAGGTGGAGCCTGGACTCCGGGGCTGGCGGGCAGTGTGCTAGGGTGGAGGGCGCTGCCGGTCCCCAGGCTGCGCCCGGCCCTCCTGTCACCTCCGCCAAGAGTGAGCCTGGGCTGCACCTGCCCTGCCCTTCCTGTCCTCTAGAGAGCGGAGGCCTTGTCCCTGGTCCCTGGAGTCTCGCGGGCCACCCAGTCTGAGGGCGGGCCCGAATGCAGCGAGCTGGTGTCAGCGGGCCCTGTGTCTCCACGGAGACGGGCGGGTGGATGGGGAGCTGTGTCCCCGCCCCACCAGTGGTGAGGAGGGAGCCGAGGAGGGGAGCCGCCCCGCACGCGAGGCTCCCTGCGGCCGGCAGGTGGCGCTGCAGGCGTGCGCGAGGGGCCGTAGCCGGCCGTCCTCCTCGTGGGACCCACTTCCCGCGGCCGCCAGGCCTTTCCCCGACCCGCAGGGCTGGGCAGGATGGCTCAGGACGAGGGGCAGGCCGTCCCAGGGCAGGCGGGCTGTGGCTGGCGGTGGGCGTCCGGGAAGGAGGCCGGAGGTCGGGTCCGCCCCCCCCACCCCCCGCCGCCCTGCGTTCCCGTCCTTCGCGCGTGTTCCGGGCTGATGCTGCAGGTGTGGCCCCACCTGGCACGCTGGGCAGCCCTCGATGCCTGCCCACGGAGAGGGCCAGCTCAGGTGGGAGCAGGACCGGGCCCTCGGGGCACGGGCGTCCGGGCTGGGGCCGGTGCGCTCGGTCTTCAGCCTGCTCGCCAGGCCGGGTGCATGCAGAGGAAGGATGTGTGCATGTGCATGTGCGTGATGTGTCCTCTGTGTGTGCGATGTCCTGTGTGAGTCCGCGTGTGTGATGCCATGTGTTCTGTGAGTCCATGTGCGTGATGTGGTATGTTCTTGTGTGAGAACACACGTGTGACATGGTTGTTCTTTGTGCGTTCTTGTGTGTGGTGTGGAACAGTCTCTGTGTGCATACATGTGTCTGGTGTGTGTGCCGCGTGTGTCTGTACCGTGTGGGTGTGTGTTCCTGTATCGCTCTGGGTTGGTATCTTCATCTTTGCCCAATTCCTTGACAGTCAGACCAGTTTCCTCGCAAACGTCTCCACAACATGGTTCTACACCAGCCGCCCTGCTCGAGGGAGCCCCAGCGTCTGCGGATAGAGATGCCCCAGCTCTCGCCAGTCCACTCATGGCACGACCCTGGTCACGCATCTTTGCTCCCACACACAGAGCCCAGGACGCACCCTCCTGAGAGAATGTGAGGGGCTCCACTCTGACCTCGGGATCTTCCTCTCACCACGTATCGGCATCAACATGGAAGGGCCAGAGCAACAGCTGGCACATGCCCTTCCTTCCCCCGCCTTCCCATTCCTTTCTCAGGCATACCCTGTCCATGCAGGAGCCCAGGTCCATGGACAATCTGCAAGAAAGGAAGGCGTGAGTGCCGCCCTCTGCGGGTTTTCTGGAAAGGCGACCGATCGGTAAAGCCGCAGAGGCAGGAAATCGCCCTTCTCAGAAGTAGGCGGGGACTGTCCCCTCTCCCACAAGTCCCACCGAGAGTGGGCTCCTAGGCTCCCTAGACAGGGAAAGGAGCCACTTGCTGTCACCTGCTTGCTACGGGGATGTCACGTGGATCTGGTCTCACCGTGTGCCGTGTGGGACGACGGTGTGTGCAGGGGTTCCCGGGGAGGCGCCGGTAGTGAGCGCGGACCTTGCGCAGGGTGCGTGCAGGGGGTTCCGGGGAGGCACCGGGAGCGAGCACGGACCTTGCGCAGGGTGCGTGCAGGGGGTTCCCGGGGAGGCACCGGGAGCGAGCGCGGACCTTGCGCAGGGTGCGTGCAGGGGGTTCCGGGGAGGCTCCCGGAGCGAGCACGGACCTTGCGCAGGGTGCGTGCAGGGGGTTCCGGGGAGGCGCCGGGAGCGAGCACGGACCTTGCGCAGGGTGCGTGCAGGGGGTTCCGGGGAGGCGCCGGGAGCGAGCACGGACCTTGCGCAGGGTTCGTGCAGGGGGTCCGGGGAGGTGCCGGGAGCGAGCACGGACCTTGCGCAGGGTTCGTGCAGGGGGTTCGGGGAGGCGCCGGGAGCGAGCACGGACTTTGCGCAGGGTGCGTGCAGGGGGTTCGGGGAGGCGCCGGGAGCGAGCACGGACCTTGCGCAGGGGGAGGGCGAGAGCGTCCTTTCCTCTGGTTCCCGCCCGGTGTGGTTCAGCACGCCAGAGTGAAGGCCCCAAGCTCGCCCAGCGCGTGGACTGGCCGGGGGCTGAGATCTCCCTCCTGACTTCTCCCCACAAGACCCTCGGTGCCGCCCTGCTGACCCTGGAGGCCAGCCATCCTCGAGAGGGTGCGCAGAGAAACCCCGAGTTCGACCTCACTTCAGACGTGATAGTAAGAGCTCACACTCAGCAGAAAGCCCGAGTTGCGTCAGTCTGGAAGTCATGCGGTCGGGCTTCCCGAGCCAGAGGGTGACTCAGCCCCGGCAGGCTCCAGGCTGCACCCCACCCGCCTGGCCCTCGGAGCAGCCACGTGGCGACTCTGCTCCTGCCGCAGGGGGCCGGGCCCCCACACCTGGAAGCCGAAGCTGTTCCCTGGCAGTGGCCTCGGATCTGACCAGGGCAGGGCCCTAGGGCCACAGCTCAGCCACCCTCCTGGGGACAGCCCAGCACCTTTGAGCCAGTGGGAACACGATGAGGCCAGTGCCGCAGCGGCTGAATCAGGCCCCCACCCGCCATCCCCACAGCCAGACGCTGAGAAGTGGCGGCCACAGAGCCTGGGTGCCTCCCCGCGGCAGGGCACTCGCTCTGCGGCCTGGTCAGCACAAGGCGAGACCCGCGTGCTCCGCAGATCTCCCCTGGAGAGCCTGTGCCCAGCTGCTCTGGGAGGGGTCGGCACCCCATGCCTGGGCTGTTCTAGTTTTGGGGGTGCCAGGGACCGTCTGAAGGGCCTCTCGGCACGAGACATCGAGGCCCCCTGCCGAGGAGGCGGGCTCGGCCAGCCCTGCTCTTCGGGGCAGAGCCCTGACGAGAGCACCCAGAGGCAGAGGTTGCTGCTCACGGGCTGCTGGGTGTGAGCGGACCCCCCACGCTCCCGCCTCCACCTGCTGCTGGCGGGAATCTAAGCCCTCTTTGTGGATTAGTAGTCATTCCGTGCAAGGCCCAAACCGAGCTCCAATCAGAGGGAGGGAAGTGTGCACAGGCGGGATGGCCCAGTTGGTGGTGGAGCCTAAAGTCGTGCTCACCCACTGGCCAACATTGTGTGGCGGCTTTGAGAGCTGCACCCACTTTGGGCAGAAACCAGACCATCCTGAGGGGCAGCTCTGCAGGCTCCAGGTGCTGCCCCTGAGAGAAGTCACCAGAAGAAGTGAGTGTGGCCAAGGGGCACGGAAGATGGAGAGAGGAGGGGCTGCCCTGCCCCTGTCCAGAGGTGGGGACACTGCGGGGACAGCAAGGCACCTCTCCCCTCGGAGGGCTCGAGGCGTGGAGCCCGCCCACCCTGCTCAGACAGCCTCCCGCAGCAGCAAAACCGCTCCACGGCAGAGCTACGGCTTCCAGAGGTGCCAGGACAGGGCAGTCACAGCTGGGGCTGCGGCCACTGGCCTTGCCTGTCCGCCTCGACTACCCTGGCATTCATGGCCTCTCTGGGACGGGCCTCCCTCATCTCACAGCCCTGGCCACAACCCCAGGGGACATGCAGGAGCTCCGAGTACCAGGTGGTGAGGCAGTGTGGGCGGGGCCCGTTTTTCCTGGCTGGGCCTGTCCTGTGCTGATGGCCTCTGTGCCCTGTCATTCCCTGCTGCAGCCCTGGGCAGGGGCCTCCCCTCTCAGTGCCGGCTTCTGCCTCTGTGACCAGGGTGCCCAAGGAGCAGCAGGGGTGGCGAGCAGAGCCATCGCCTCCCCCAAGGAGATCCTGCGAATCTCTGACTCTCCGCTGCCCACTGGGAGCAGAGACGCCCAGCCTGCAGCCTTGCAGATGAGGGTGCGTGGGAGGGGCAGAGGAGGACTCAGGAGCCGGGGGCAAGTCCAAGCCCCTCTGAGCCCACCCTCCAGCCCCAGTCATGCGGACTCTGCCCTTGCTCTGCTCCTGGCACACAGACCTGGGGCCTGATCACAGGTGGTGCCGAGCTCACTCACTCCTGTAGCCGACAGCCAGTGCACACCTGCTGCACCCCAAGGCCAGGACAGAGGCACCGTGAGACAGTGAAGAGCGGGCCCTGCCCTCCTCCTCAAGCCACCTGTATGGATGCCAGCAAGTGCGTGTGTGTGAAGTCAGATGTGTGCATATGTATGCATGTGTGTACACTCATGGACATGCTAAGATGTATGAGCATGTGTACATGCACACATGTGCATCTGTGTGTGCACATGTGAAGATGTGTGCATATGCACACACATGTACATATGTGAGTGCACAGCACATACTGTGTGCACACGGGGATGACCTCTCCCTGCCCGCCGACCTCTCCCTGCCCGCCGGCCTCTCCGGGTGGGCGGGGTGCTCTGGGAGAGCACGAGGCTCGCTGGCTCGTTGTCAGGTCGGGCTGAGTGAACAAGGGCCCCTCCCCAGGAGAGGGGTCTGGAACCTTGGCTCCTTTAGCCACCAGACCCTAACGCTCAGGGCACAGGGTCCGAAGCTTCTGAAAACCTATGAAAATACTGAAACTGGGGGAAAATAACTTTTATTGGCCCCCACCTATGAGAAGAAAACTGTTTTTGAGCTTCTAGGAGATCCCCGCAGGTTTCTGTTTGGGGGTTTCCTGGTAAGGGCACCTTCCCAAATGCCTCCTATGGGGCCCAGTTCCCCTCTACTCGCCAGACACCCCACCCAGCTGGGAGAGGCCCAGCCCAGCGAGAACTCCACAGGGAGGGGCCCCGCCCGGAACGGAGCTTCCTCAGCAGTTGCTGGCCTGGTGGCACATGTCCCCTTAGGGACCTCATGTTCTTAACCCTAGAGTGGCTTCTGAGCTGAGTTTTCTTGCGCTTTCCATCAAGGCTGACTCTACCTCCTGGCTCTACAGTTGACTGGCTGGTCTCGGGGTGCCCTGACCCTCCCTGGGCTCCTCCCTGCCCCAACCCTAGAAATAGAAACGTGAGATCAGGTCGTGAAGGGTCCTGGGGCTCCATGAAAATGCGTGTGCTGACTGGCACCCCTGGCCTTTGACCCCACAGTCACTGGGGGTTGCTGGTCCACATCCGCTAGTCCAGGTCCTGCCTAACCTGATGCAGCCTTTGAGGCCAAGTACCCCTCCCTGCGGTGACTGAGGGAAGCCAGGAGGCTCCCAGCCCCGCCCAGCCCCCAAGGGTCGCAGTGGCCTCAGCTCCCGCTCTGCTGAGTCAGCCACGGCCACGGCAGTTCACACCCTGGGGCTGGGTGACCGCAAGGGCGGGTGTGAGTTTCTGTTTCGACGCCCAGTGGCCACATACGTAGGTCTTGGTTCTTCCTAAGTGAGGCAGAGGCCACGCTGTGCCCAAGCTCTCCGGGTGGCGCCCACGACTTCCCCTCCCGGGTGAAGGCCATGGGTGAGCGGGCGGCCCACGAGCAAACTGCCACCCCTGCACTCAGCCCTGGGTTGGACCAGCTGGTTGAGGCCCACACGTCACGGTGTTCCTCTGAGCCAGCTCCTCTGCTCGATAAGAAGGTCTGGATTCAAGGAATAAACTCCCCGCAGTTAGGAACACACCAGAAGCAAAGCTAGCGTGGTTTTACGTGTCCCTCCTGGGCAGCCTTTGTGGGCAGGGCAAAGCCAGAGGGATCCGCCTCACCCAGGTCGTCCTGGAGGGGCTGGAGACCCTCGGCCGTCTCCACTTTCCCGTAACCGAGGATGAGTCTGATGCATGTGTTTCCTGTGACAGCCACGGCATCATCACATCTGCTCGGAGAACTATTTTTAACTGATTTATGTATTTCTTATATGAGGAAGACATCAACTTCTGTTTCAGGCCGTGTTACAGGAAAGTGTTGCAACCGTGCTCAGCTCAGCAGTATCGGCTGCCCCGAGCAGCTGGGAGGCCCAGCTCGGCCTCCAGAGCCTTGTAAAAATTGATAAAGTCGGAAAGGTGAGTCAGACTCCACGCCACGTATTTTGAAAAAGAGGAAACGATAGTCACCCCCTTCTGCAGAACCAACAAACCCGTTTTGAGAAGCGGCACACTGTTTCTTTAAGTTTCCGGGGCCATGCCCACAGAGGAGGGTCAGCTCTCGGCTGCCGCAGAAGCTGGGGGCATTGACGTGGGTCGGTTTCTGCACTTGTGACGCTCGAAGAGTGGCAATGCCACAGCAGGGCACACCGTGGGGTGGGGCTGCTGGGGGCCAAAGCACGGAGTGCCACTGACCGCCAGGGCCCAGCCGCCATCCTTAAGGTGAAGTCTCCTGAGGACACAGACACTCCCTGCCTTGCAGACAAGGACAGGCTCAGGCAGGGTGGTCTGGCCCAGGCTGACGGGGACGACCTGTAGAAAGTGCATCAGGGCCCGTCCTAGGACTCGGCTGCTCAGCGGCACCCATACCCTGGGCTGCCCCTGCCAGCACCAGGCTGCAGAGGGGATCCAGCAGGAACGGGTGGCAGGAACGGGCAACAGGAGCCGCTGGAGAGGAAGGGCTGGCAGAGGGAAGAGGCCGGGCTCAGGGCTCACAGGGCCTCCTGAAGGCTCTGCAGAGGCAGCTGGAGGCAGCGCCAGTAGACCAGGGCGAGAGGCCAGGGAGGCAGAAGGAAGGGCCGCAGAGCTCGGGTGAGGACGGACCACAAGGGGCCTCTTGTCGAGAGGGTGTCCTCCCGGAGCCAGGGGCTCACAGCCACTGCACTGTGCCCTCCCCACGCAGGCCTCTGGGGAAGGCGGACACACGCCTGCCTTTTCAGTGTGTGCGGGGCCACCTGCCCTGGGGCGGGAGTGGCATCGTTGTTTGCCTTTCAAGTGGAGAACCCGAGGCCCTGGGCTGTCTCTGCCCCACCCAGCGCCCGCTCTGGCAGCGGCGCAGCCTTCATCTCCAGCTGTAGGGCCCTGTGGGCTGGGCGCCTGGCAGGGCATGGCCACGCCGAGACCTCGGCAGTCTGGGCTTTGTCTCTGCTCTGAGGCCACTGGGATGGTACAGGGCAGGGCTGAGCATGGGTGCTGGTCCTATTGTAGCCGGGGGCCTGGAGCCTTTGAGAAAGGGGGTTCCATCCCCTCCCAGCCCTATCCCCGCTCTCCTCTCTTCTAGAAGAGGCAAGAAGCAGGGACCCCAGGGCCCAGGGAGCTGTTTGGAGGTGGTGCCCCTAGGGCCCCCTGGTGCTGCACGTCCTGGGGCTGAGTCGCTCACGGCTCTTCTCTTCCACACAGCCACCCTTGGAGAAGAGGAAACTGAGGCGCACTCACCCGCCGCCAGAGGCAGGGCATGGATTCCAGCCCGAGAAGCCAACTCAGAGTCATGCTCCAGACCCCTAAGCTATAATTTGTGTTCTCTAGCACTCGAGATATCTAGCGTTTAATGTGGAAAAATGGTTCCATTCTGTCTCACCCCATACCCCAAAATAAACTTAGATTAAAGGCAAAAAGCACAATTATAAAAACACTGGAGAAAATACAAGAGCATATTCATACACTCTCAGGAGACAAACAGAATACAAAATCCAAACCTTAAAGGAAATAATTGACAATTTTGACTATGTAAAATTTAAAAACTTCTATGGGATGAAAACAGCACCGTTAGAAAGTTAAATGTTAAGCAGCAGACTGCGAACACGTGTCTGCAATATAAACACAAAAAGTACTAATATTCATCATATGTAAAGAACTCCCACAAATCAATAAGAAATAAGCGAACAACCCAATAGAAAAGTGGTAAAGGGTAAGAACAGAAAAAATATTAAAATGAGTTAATGACAAAATATCCAACTTCGCCATTAATCATAGAAGTAAGGAGTTGAAACATTTTATGACAAAATCCATGTCACTCAGGTGAAGCACGGGTACAATGACATAGTCTGTGAAAAAATGGGAGCAGCCTTTTGAGGGGTGATTTGGAGTCTCTGCCAGAAACGCAAATGCACAGGGCCGAGACCCCAGCCCTGCAGAGATGTCTGTGCGGATGTCTGAGCCTCGTCTGGAAACTGGAGGCTGGAGGAGAACATCGCCAAGGGCTGGAGCCCCGAGTGCTCACCTTCCAGGGACCTCAGTCTTCATGGGAAACTCGGAGCCCTGGCGTGGTGGCCTCTGCGGCCTGGTGCCCTTGAGGGTCACCCTGGCTAGGCTTGGAGGGCAGGGAGGCCGCTGAGGCCTGGGTGGCTGACCAAGCATGCAGACCCCACGGCCAGCTGCCCTGAGGGGCTGTGGACACACTGCTTGGCGGAGGCTGTCGGCCCCGAGGGGCCGTTGTCCGCTGGTGGAGACACTGGCGGGGCCAAGCTCGGAGCTGCAGGTGGGGGTCTAAGTGGGGGGTCGGGGGCTGGTGGAAATGTTCACCTCCCCCCGCACCCCTGCAGCACCTCCCCAGGCGGCACCCCCCCCTCCCCGCACCGCCGCAGGACGGGCATTCAGGCCACCAGCCCTTTCCTGCTTTGTGTCAGGGCCACCGCCACCCCCACCCCGCCAGGCTCCCTCTTCCTCTGACTCGGCCCCCAGCCTCACCGCTCCCCTCACACTGAGCATCCCAGTGGGCTGTGCCCGCCCTGAATGCATAGTATCAGCATGAATCGGCCTCTGCCTTCTGGAGAGTTCCGTCTCTAATTTTACGCCCGCTATCAGCTGGTTATTTGATCCAGATGCCTGCGGAACTCACAGCGGGAGCAGTCCGGGGTGGGCGGTGGGCGGGATGGCCGTGGGCGGCCGGGCACGGCTCCCGGCTCCCCCGTTAGCCAGTGCGGTCTGAGAAGGGTGCGCCCCTTCCCTGGGAAACAATATGGGACCCGTTCCAGGTGGTTTTCCGCCCAGGCCTGGGGCCCTCCTGGGCTGCAGCCCACACCCCGCACGCTGGCCCGAGGGACAGGCAGAGGCGGGGGCTGGCCAGGCCCTGCTGTCCCCTTCCTGCAGCGAGGCTGCCCCCCACCTCAGCACCGCCAGGGTCACATGGGCCGGGCCCTCCACCCCCAGAGGCCACAGTGACGGTGAGGGCACCCCTTGCTCCTCCCCTACCTCCCACCTGGACCTCAGGACGCTTCCGGAAGCCAGCCCCGTTCCAGGGCCCCTGGAGTCTCCTCCACGGGCAGCCCTGGGGACTGTGCAGACACCAGGTCCCCAGGCCAAAGCCACACCCTCCGCCCGGCCTTCACTACGCCTCTGGTCACCCCGAGCGGGTTTGCCCCACCCCGCAGGCACGCTCTCTCCTGCGCCCTGGCTCAGCGGGGGACAGGGAAGGGGTGCCCAGCCTCCTCGGGGCACCCACTCGGGTGTTCTCAGGGGAGCAGGCCCTGAAGCTCAGAGCCACCCAGAGCAAGCGGGACTCCAGCCTGGCCTCAGGAATGGCTCTGGAGTCCGAAGGGCAAAACGCTTACTTAGGTTACGTGGGACAAGCCCATTTCCTGCCCCAAACGGAGGTCAAGGGGACCTCTCCCCCCAGCAGGGGTGTGTCTGCAAAGCACAGCTGCACTCTGGGGTCGTTTCCGAGAGACAGACGCCCCGTTTCCTCCAGGGGCTGAGACCAGCGGGTCTGAGGGAGGAGGCTGGGAGGGTCGGGGAGACCCAAGGGGGTGAGGTCTGGGCGCACCCCCAGGACAGGCAGCCTGGGCCCCAGCTGAGATGTCCCGAGGCCTTCAGTACCTCTGCCCTGTGTGGGGAAAGGGGTCACCTTTGCTCCCTGCTGGCCCTGGCTGGCTGCCAGCTTCAGGCCGGCCCCGGGGCCATGGCAGCCCCACCACGCCCTGCCCCGTGAGGGGAGCCGAGCTGGCAGCCCTGCTCGGCCGGAGCCAGGCCTGCGGGTGGTGCGGCCAGCCCTGGCCCACGGTCCTGAATTCCATCGAAGAACAACAAACTGAGACTCCAGCTGAATCCAGACCCACCCGGGCCCCACCCAGCACAGCTCAGGTTCCCTGTCCCGGAGGACGGTGCCCACGCAGACTGGAGCCTCTGGACACGGCACATAAACAAGTCCCTCCTGGCCCTCCCAGGAGCCCTCCCACCCCTCGAGCTGTCCTGGGCTCCACCACCTGGCTGCTCCTGCAGGGTGTAGCCCATCTACCCGCAGTGGACGGCTGCTTCTTTCGGGGTGTACAGGGGCCGCAGTGCAAGTCAGGAGTAATTTCTGTGGCTTGGGGTAGACCAGGTGTCCGAAAACTATGGCCTTGGGCCACATGCAGCCCACCGAGGATATTTCTCCGCCCGCTGGGTGTTTTTGCCGCGGCTGCCTGTCCTGCTTAGCAGCCGACTCGTCCCGGGCCCACAGTGCGCATGTGTGGAATGTGTGCCGCACTCTCCAACGGCTCTCCAACGGTCTGAGGGACAGTGAACTGGCCCCGTTTAAAAAGTTTGAGGACCCCTGGGGTAGACTGTTAGGCAGGAAACAAGCACCGAGGTGGAGATCTTGGGGAGGGAGGCAGTGGATCAGTGAGGAGGGGTACGGCAGTGAGGAGGGGGTACAGCGGTGAGGAGGGGGTACGGCAGTGAGGAGGGGGTACAGCGGTGAGGAGGGGTACGGTGGTGAGGAGGGGTGCGGCAGTGCAGAGAACACAGGGACAGTGAGCAAGTGGGTGCACGTGTGGCCCCCCCACTGCATTTCAGATGGAGGGAGGTGCAGAGAGGTGCGGGCAGCTGGACAGATGGGCAGACGGAGGCAGGACAGGCGTGTGTGTGTGTGTGTGTGTGTGTGTGTGTGTGTGAGAGAGAGAAGGTTCTGCAGACTCAAAGAGCTGTTACACAGCGACTGAAAACAGGCTTTGAAGTCAGCAGCCCTGAGCTCACCGCGGCCAGTTAGCAGCCACGTGACCATGAGCACATTCTCGGGCTTCAGTTTCCGTATTTCTAGAGTGACCTGTTTGTGGAGGGTCACTGTGGGCATGAAATTGCTCCTCTGCAGAAGGTCTGTGGTCACGGCGAGGGGCCTAGGCTTGCTCTCTAAGTCCTCGCTCTCATCTGTTTGCTGGACATCAGTGCAAGGCCTGAGACGTGTCCACAAGAAAGGGACACACCCAGACCCAGCCCCAGCCAGGAGACAGACCACACGTGACGGACAGGCCACTTGCAGTGCCGTGCAGGCTGCGGAGCTCAGACAGGGCGGCCGGGCGGCGGCAGGGCCCGGGCCTTGGCGGGAGGGGCTGGAAGGAGGCCAGGGAGAGCGTTCCTGGTCCCAGCTTCTGGCCCCAGGGAGGGAGGGACCACCAGTGAGGAGGAGCAAGGGGCCCTGTCGGGGGAGGCTGGCAGGAGGGAGGCAGGGTTCTAGAAGGTCCCTCGAGACCAGGAGGGGCTCCCCAAATGCCTGGGAGTCACATTCCACCACGCTGGGGGAGAGGGGACACCAAGCTGGCCTCAGCTTGATCGAAAGAACAAAGCAAATGGAATAGAACAAAACACTGTCACGCCTTGCCCACTGGAGACGTGGGGCGAGGCTGGTGGCGGGTGGGAGTTGCGCTATGGGAGTGGGGGGCGTGACAGGCCACCCCAAAGGCTTCGAGAAAGGTCAGATGGACCCAGCAAAGCGAGGCCCAGGGCGCCCGGCCTCAGGTTTGATGACGTCAACATAACAGAGGCGGCACGGCGCACCTCTGGACACGGCAGGTTGAGTCCCCAATCCATGTGCTCCTGGGTTCCCATGGCGCCTGTGTGCGGAGCTACCCCAGGGGGCTGAGTGGGGTGGGGCCCTGCTGGCGCCATCAGGCCCCAGCTGCTGGGCCGGCCGTGTGGGCGTCGTCCGTGTGAGTGGCGTCCGTCAGCAGCACACTACAAAGGGCGCCATGGCGTCTTTCACGGGCTGTGAGCAAAACAATCCCGACCTTATTTTCCACGAGCACCAACAGATGTTTAGAATCTGGGAGAAGTTTCTAGGACCAAAGCGTTTCTCAGGCAGGGCCCCTGGAGCGGCCCCAGGGAGCGGCGTGCCCGCGGCTCGCTCTGTTGTTCTAAGCGCGCCCTTCGCAAGTCAGGAATGTCAAACAGAGCTGACCCCGCCGCTGCGAGCCCCACTCCAACACAGCCTGCAGGGCGGGCAGGCTCCAGGGTGTTTGTCTAACTCAACACAAACGAGCTGGGCGGTATATCATTTCTCCAGCCAAACAGTATTGAAGCCGCATGTGCGCCGTGTTACTGTTGCTTCCTGCCGAAGAGCTGCATCCCTGGAGCCTGCTCAGCACATTTAGCAAGTGAAAAAGAGGCGATTGTTTCTCGTTTAGTTGGGAAAATAGAAGCAATCAGAAAAGAATGTCCGTGTGTTCCTGCGGCATCACCCCACCACGGCCACAGGCCGAGCCCAGCCCTCCCCGCACCAAGTCTCTGCTCTGCAGCAAGACGCCCAGAAGGTCCTCTGGCCCTCCCCACTCCTCTCCTCTTTCCTGCACCTTCGCTGACCAAGCCTTCGTCTCTCCTGCTCCACCAGAAATGCTCTTGCTGCAGTCACCAGCAGCGCTAGGTCTGGGTGTCGATTCCCAGCCTCGGCCGAGGGGCCGTCCCGTGCAGACACCACCCCTCCAGAGTGCAAGTCCTTCCTGCGGCTCTGGGATGCGCTCACGCCCTGGCCGCTGTTTCCGCTGCTCTCCTCTCCTGCATTCGCTTTCTATTGCTGCTGCAAAAGGTTGCCACAAATCTAGTGGGTTACAACAACACAAATTTATTGTCTTATAGTTCTGTAAATCAGAAGTCAGAAACGGGCTGTAAGGACTGAATGAGAGGTGGGGCGCGGTGGCTCACGCCTGCAATCCTAGCACTCTGGGAGGCCGAGGCAGGAGGATTGCTTGAGCTCAGGAGTTCGAAACCAGCCTGAGCAAGAGTAAGACCCTGTCTCTACTAAAAATAGAAAGAAATTAATTGCCCAACTAAAAATATATAAAAAAATTAGCCGGGCATGGTGGCGCATGCCTGTAGTCCCAGCTACTCGGGA